GACCTACCTAGCACTGATTAATTAATAATAGAATAACATTGTTCAAACCCTAATCAACTTAAAAAAAAAAATTAGAGGATGTGAATCATGTGATGATCAAAGTGGTAATGGCCCTTTAAAATGATCAAATATAAACCTTAGCCTCCTAGTGATTATTTTAATTAAGATGAGAATCCAACCTCTGACCCTGAATAATATAAAATAATAATATGAGAGTATCATATGCTAGTTCCACTTAAAAGGCAACTCCATTCTTGTTCCAATCCTACCTAATTTGTTAGTCGTAAAGCTTCCTAGTGTTGGTAATAAAGAATGTAAATGGGGCTTATAATTTGAATCTTAATTTGTATAACAAGTTGTGAATGCACTTTTTCCTTTTTATTCTTTTCTTCTTCTTCACAAATCCCATTGTGGCATGAATCCTTATTTAAATTCAACATCCAATCACAAATAAACTTAGACTTACAAAACCTAATTTTTCCATAAACTAACGGATTATATATATATATATATATATTTAAATAGTGCAATGTTGCATTTTTTTAAATAAAAAAATTATTAAAAATGAGGTAAATTGCTACCATCTGTTTGGTTTAGTTTTAGAATTATGATTTGAGTATGGAGTTGTATTTTGAGTTTTAAGTCTTTAAATCATGATCTAATAAGAAAAAATTTGTTTGGTTATGAGTTTTGTAAATAATTTTGGAATAGTTTGTAATTTTTATTTTTATTTTTATTTTTTGATTGATTGATGTATAGAATGTGAGAGGAGAGAGAAAAAATGATTGATTAATTGATTAATAATAATAATAATAATAATAAGAGAATAGAGGAATTTCAAAAATAATTTTGAATTGTATTTTAAAAATATATTTAGTTAACATGTTGCATCTAAATCATAATTTAAAAATAAGGTTGAGTTTTAAAAATTAAACCAAACACTACTGGTCCATGTTTCATCAGTTGGCAACTCTATTAATGCTGAGATATAATTCGAAAATCATAATTCGAAAATCACAAATTTTGCATTAGGCTCAACAAATTTTGCATTAAATTATAATCCGAAAATCACTTTTAAATTTTGTGTAGTTACCTTTTAAATTACATCATCCATGAGACTCTTTTTTGTATTCTTCTCTTTTTCTCAAAAAAAATCTTGTAGTATCCATTTTTTTCGATGAATAGTATGTAAAAAAAAAAAAAAAAAGAAGAAGAAGTTAAAATAGTGGTGCCAAATCAATAAAAAAATCATAAATTATTATATAGTCAATGAATAGTAAATTAACAAAATTTTTAAGGACCTATAGCTAGTCATAGAATTAGTTTGTTGAAATAAAACAGTGTTTTTATGGTTTACTTGCTATATTTAATCAAAAATTTGATTTGTTGAGGCAAATGTGAAAGTTCCAAGGGTTGCTATTGTTAAAAATGCTAGAGAAAATTACAAATAAAATCTCAAAGTTTGATTTTTATAACAAAATAAATTATGAATTTTTAGTTTTGTCAATTTAAACTTTAATCTTTTAATTTGTTTTCAATCTAAACTATTTGTTGGTGGGAGTGGGGTGCAAACCACTGTTGGTGATTCACAATGAGAGGTTTAAAATTGAACCAAACTTAAATTTAAATTCACTCAAAATAATTTTGAGGAAAAACATACAAACAGAGCACTCTTCCTTTCTTTCTCCCACACTCTAAAACTTTACAATAACATAGCTATATACAGATAAAAACATACAATGTGAATGCATTTATTGCAAGTACAACTATCAGTATGAAATCATTTAATACGTATACGGCTATCAACCAACGCATTGAATGCAGCAACCAACGCATTGAATGCAGCAACCAACACATTGAATTTCAGCCTCTATTTTTGACAAACAATCAAGATTACTTTACAACATCCCCCCTTAATCTTAATTCTCTATGGGGCTTCATCCCGAGCATTATCTTCATTCTGTTGAACATATCATTTTTTAATGGCTTCGTGAAAATATCTATAAGCTGATCTTGAGATTTGCAAGGAAATAATTCCACCTCTTTATTTTTCACATGCTCTCGGATGAAATGATAGCGGGTGTCAATATGCTTACTTCTTTCATGATAAACTGGGTTATTTGCCAATGCAATTGCTAAGAGATTATCAACATAGATCTCAGTGGGTTTTTCTTGTGGAAATCCTAAATGCTTTAGCGTGTTCCGTAACCATATTGCATGGCACACAGCTAAGTTGGCTGCAACATACTCAGCTTCGCAAGTCGATAATGTCACAATGGCTTGCTTCTTGGACGACCATGTGAAGGCTGTATCTCCCATAAAGAAAGTAAATCCCGTAGTACTTTTTCGTTCATCCAAGTCACGTCCCCAGTCGCTATCAGAGTATCCAACAAGATTGAAATTATCAGTTGGTTTATAGAATAAACCATCATCGACTGTATCTTTGATGTAGTGAAGAATCCTCTTTGCTGCATGAAGGTGTGATTGATCCGGTGTTTCCATATATCTGCTAATCAATCCTACTCTATAGAGTATGTCTGGCCTGGTGCAAGTAAGATAGTAAAGACTTCCAACTAGGCTCTTGAAATAAGTTGGATCTACATCACCTGCCTTCGTACCTTTTCTGAGCTCCACTCCACTATCTACAAGAGTGTTCACTGGATTGCAATTCTCCATTCCATATCTCTTGAGAATTTCCTGGGCATAGCCACTTTGGGAAATAAAAATTCCATCTTTTCTTTGTGCCACTTCAATGCTGAGAAAATGAGCCACCAATCCAATATCTGTCATTTCAAATTCTTGGACCATGTTTCTTTTAAAGTCTTTGAACATGACTGGATTGTTTCCGGTGAAGATTAGATCATCAACATAAAGAGCAACATGCTTCCATCAGCTTCCTTCTTCAAATATAGTGCGTGCTCATATGGACATTTTTCAAAACTATTGTCATGAAAATACTGATTAATTCTAGTATTCCATACACGCGGAGCTTGCTTCAATCCATAAAGTGCTTTCTTCAATTTGTGCACTTTGTCTTCATGCCCATTATGAACATACCCTAAAGGTTGTTTAATATAGATTTCTTCTTCAAGGAAACCGTTAAGAAATGCAAATTTCACATCAAGTTGATAAATTTGCCACTTGTGCTGGGCAGCCAAAGAAATCATTAACCTGATAGTCTCCAATCGGGCAACTGGAGCAAACACCTCTCCATAGTCAATTCCAGCTCTTTGCTTGTAACCTTTTGCCACTAATCTTGCCTTGTAGCATTGCACTTCGCCTTGTGCATTCCTCTTTGTCTTGTATACCCATTTCACTCCAATGAGTTTGTGCCTCTCCGGTAGACTGGTAAGCTTCCATGTGTCATTTTTCTCAATGGCATGAATTTCTTCATCCATTGCTTTCTTCTATTTATCTTCTTGGATGGCTTCTGAGAAAGTAAGTGAATCACTATCTGCGCGTAGGCAGAACAAATTCAGATCTGCTTCTTCTGTAGCTTCATATATGTCCTACAAATTTCTCATTGGTCTTGGTTGTTTGAAAAAACTATCATCTGATGATGATGATGATGATGATGATGATGATGTAACATTTCTATGAGAAACTGGCGATCTAGGTGCAGGTATTCTATGTGGAGGAGTTTATGGCTCATCTTGAACTTCTATTGTAATTTCAACTGGAGCTTTTGATGTTTCATCTTCAAGAATGAGTTCTGTATCTTTAACAACTTCATCTTGATTCTAGTTCCAAGCTTCTTCTTCTTCAAATATCACATCTCTACTCATGATCACTTTTCTGGTAATGGGATTATACAACTTGTATCCATCGTTCTATCTCTATATCCGACAAGAATACATTTTTCTCCCTTATTATCGAGCTTGGTTCTTCTTGCTTCTGGAATCTTGGTGTACGCAACACACCCAAATATTCTAAGATGGTTGACACTTGGCTTATGTGAACTCCAAGCTTCTTTTGGAGTCATATAATGAAGGCTCCTGGTTGGGCATCTATTTAGTAGATACACAACACATGATACGGCTTCAGCCCAAAATTGCTTGGGTAGTTCCTTTCCTTTCAACATGTTTCTTGCCATATCTAAGATTGTGCGATCTTCCTTTCAGCAACACCATTCAGCTGTGGCGTATAGGATGGTGTTGTTTGATGCTTGATTCCATGTTCTTTGCAATAATTCTCGAATGCATCTGATGTATATTCCCCACCTTGATCTGATCTCAATGTCTTGATGTAGTAGTCGTTTTGCTTCTCTACAAAAGCTTTAAATTCTTTGAAGAGACTGAACACCTCCGACTTTCTTTTAAGAAAATACACCCATGTCTTTCGGCTATAATCATCAATGAAGGTGAGAAAATATATATTCCGTCCATTTGACATTGGTTTCAATGGACCACACACATCAATGTGCACTAGCTCCAGCGGTTTTGTTGCTCTCTACTTCACTTCTTTGGCAAAACTAGTTCTGTGATGCTTGCCAAGAATGCAGCTTTCAAAGACTTCATTAGTATGAGCAATATGAGGGAGCCCTTTTACCATATTCTTGCTTGACAACAGCTTCAAGCTTCCAAAGTTGAGATGTCCAAACCTCAAATGCCATAGCTAGTCTTTGTCTTTGATGATGGCACTTAAACACTTCGCAGCATCATGTTGGATGTTCAATGCAAACATCCGATTCTTGGACATTCTCACCCGAGCGATCAAATTACCATGATTGTCTTTGATGGTAAGATGACAATCTTTCATGCTGATGTCGTATTCTTTCTCTAGGAGTTGTCCCATACTCAAAATGTTGTTCTTCATGGCAGGAACATAATAAACATTGAAGATGTAATCATGATCTCCATTCTTAAGCTTGATCAGAATATTACCTCTTCCTTTCACTGGAGTCTTTGAAGAATCACCAAATGAGACTTGTGCTTGTATAGTCTCGTCAAGCTCAACGAACAACTCTCTTTTACCACACATGTGATTACTGGCTCCCGAATCTAGATACCAAACATTGTTTTGGTTTTCAGTATCTCCATGGTGGACAAACAAGACTGTAGGTCCAACTTTGTTTGTTTCCTCCTCGGTAAAATTTGCTTGCTCTCCGGCGTTATTGCTCTATTTCGGCATTCATTGCTGTAATGCCCGAACTTGTGGCACTGGTAGCACTGAACATTGCTTTTGTCAAATCCTGGTCGGTTATTGTAACCACCTTCTCTACCTCTTGCTCTTCCTCTTGGAGCAAAGTGTGGTTGATTTCTTTCTCCTCTAGCTGGACCTCTTCCACATCTTCTTCGAAAAACAGAACTTCGGTTGTTGTAACCACGACCTCTTTCTCGGCTTCTTTGTGATGTCCCCACTTGCTCGTTTCTGTCATCTCTGAAAGATAGCTTTGATTGAAGAGCTTGCTCTAGAGAACTTAAAGGAGTCTTCTTGTTGATCCTTTGTTCATGAATCTCAAGTGTGCCCATCAGCTCATCGGTGGTCATAGCACTGAGATCCTTGGACTCTTCTATTGCTACAACCATGCGCTTGAACTTGGGACTGAGTGATCGGAGAATATTTTCTATCACTTGAAGAGATTCCATCTTTTCTCCATATCTTCTCATCTGATTAACAATGGTCAATGTTCTGTTGAAGTACTCATAAATTGACTCATTCTCATTCATGTGCAACATCTCAAATTCGCCACGTAACACTTGGAGTCGAACTCTAATCGTCTTCTCAATTCCATGGTGTGAATTGTGAAGAATACTCAATGCCTCTTTAGAGGTTGCTGCTGCTGAAATCTTCTCAAAACTTGACTCATCAATGCCTTGATAGAGTAGATACAAGGCCTTTTTATCTCTTTTCTTTGAATCTTCTAACGCCGTCTTCTGAGTGTCATTTAAATTTCCTTCATCTTCGAGAGTAGCTGGCTCGTCATATCCTCGATCCACTAACTCCCACAAATCTTGTGAGGCTAGTAGGACTTGCATTTGAATACTCCAATTTTCATAGTTCTCCTTGTTGAGTTTTGGAAAGTAGGGCTGAAAGAAGTTGTTTGTGTTGGCCATTGGTTGTCTTTAAAAACTGTAAATTTTTAGGATAGAATTTACAAATTCTGACCGTACAGATGTGTCCGAAATACTCCAAATAGTTGGAAAACACTATTGGATCACCAGAAACAAACTCCGAATGGCTTAGATCAAGCCAAAACAAGTTGAACGGTTCAGATCTGCGGCTGCATCTTAGCCGCGTCACATTGGATTAATCCTCTGTGTGTTGATGTCAATGGCTCAGTCAACGCGGCTTGGTTAGCAGCGCGACTCAGGCTCGGCTCGGTCAGCGGCTCGATCAACGTCGACTCAGTCAAAGCTGGTCAGCGGCTCAGATGACGTTAGTGGATGGCGTTAGGTCTTTGGTGTGCGCGCGTGTGGCACGTACTTGCGCGTTGGATGACACGTCTTCTTCCTTTAGCAGCACATGTGAAGTGTGGGCGAGCGGGAGCGCGTGAGAATGGGGTCAGGAGGCGCTTGGAGGGCGTGTGGGGCCGTTTGATCTGCGTCTTCGACGTGATTTTCACGGTTGTGCTCGTCTCATCGGGAGCTTCAATCTGATGTGATCAGAAATGGATTTCAACTACTTTGATTTCTGGGTAATTTTTGAAAACACAATATGTTTTTGAAAATTTTGCAGAATGGCTGCAAATTTAATCTACCTTCGGCTCTGATACCACTGTTGGTGGGAGTGGGGTGCAAATCACTGTTGGTGATTCACAATGAGAGGTTTAAAACTGAACCAAACTAAGATTTAAATTCATTCAAAATAATTATGAGGAAAAACATACAAACAGAGCACTCTTCTTTTCTTTCTCCCACACTCTGAAACCTTACAATAACATAGCTATATACAGATAAAAACATACAATGTGAACGCATTTATTGCAAGTGCAACTATCAGTATGAAATCATTTAATGCGTATACGACTATCAACCAACGCATTGAATTTCAGCCCCCATTTTTGACAAACAATCAAGATTACTTCACAACACTATTCACCTATTTCAATTAAGTAAAACCAACGAAAAAAAAGTATTTTAATTATTAAACTCGAAAATACATAAAATGTCTAAAATATCATTTTTCGTTGAGTTTAATGATTAAAATATTATTTTTCTGTCAATTTTACTTTAAAAAAATACACAGAAGGTTTAAATTGAAAACAAATCAAAAGATTAGGATTTATATTGACAAAATTAAAAGTTATGATTATAAGGGTTAAATTCAAAATTTCCCCCCCAAAAATGCTATTTAGAAACACTATTAACTGTATTTTTCTCCTAAAATATTTAAGAAAAAAAAAAATCCACAGCGCTTCCATAAAAAAATTAAGTTTCAAATTTAAAAAATAAAAAGGCCCACAAAAATCAAGTAGAGAAACAAAAATCTTAAAATCTAATGTACAGAAAGAATAAAGCATAAAAGTCATTTAAAAAAAAAATAACGATCAATGAGAGCACAGTCCAATACATTAGATTATGGTTTTTGTTTTTGTTTTGTTTTGTATGTTACTTTAAACTAAATTACTAATAAAATTAACGATCATGATTATGGTTTTTGTTTTGTTTGTATGTTACTTTAAACTAAATTACTAATAAAATTAACGATGTAGTATGTATTTTGTTCTTTTTAAAATGATAGTTAAAATGAGAGATTAAATGAGGAAAAAATTTATTAGGCCAAAAAATAGCAAAATCACCATTGGAGTTAGACCATTTCTAGTAAATCAAACTATTTGAATTTTGTTAATGTCATATTTTAGCATACTATAATATAAGGGTGCAATTCGGGCGGGTTCGGTCTGGTTGGGAGGTTGTCCAAACCCAATCCAAGTTGTACTGAGATCTGTCCAGGCCCGCCCAAGCCCGAATTGTAAACCCGATGTTGCCTACCCAAGCTCGACCCAAGTTAAACCCGAATTGTCCGAGTTCCCTGAATTGTAAATGAATTTCAATTTCATTTTTTTTTTTTGCAGTTGCATTATTAAATTATTAAAATTTGACTCTATTTACATTCTTTTAAATAGAAAATTATTAATACCATCAAAACAAATAATTTATATAATGTAAGAGAGATGCCGCTATAGTAGTTTTTACAATTTATAAGTGAAAATAAAAAAATTAAGATTTTATATTATTTGTGTGGGGGCATATTTTGTAAATGACAACACATGGCCAAGGTGATATCGAAGTGTCAACCGAGGTGCTATGTGTCTTGGTTATGGCACCGAAGTGATCTTGGCTGGGCCAAGGTTGTCTATGGAGATATCAGAATTCGAGATGAACGGGTCAAGGACAAGAGTCCTAGAATGGGGAAGGATCACAATTTGGATAAAGATAAAGCTCTTAGGGAGTTTATCTCTATCTGACCGGGAGTCTTAGATAAGCATTGAGCTGGAGTCCATTGAAGCTAGGCTTCTATAGGAATCAGGTTAAAGTGGCTATAAAAGTAAGGCACCATCGCGGGTCTAAAGTAGGCTTTTTGTATTCTGGCTTGTAAGTTAAGCACTATTTGCTATCTTTGAGAGATAAACTGAGTACTGACTTGATCGTCGGAGTGCCCCCGGGTGGACGAACCATCGCTGGAGTCTTATCTTTCTGTGACAGGTTGTTTGGGCGTAATTTATTTTGCCTGTGTTCTCCAGCTAAGTTCCTTGTTTGGCAGTGTGGTCGAAAATTAGCACCCACAATTTGGCGCCGTCTGTGGAAATCATAAGGAGAATAGATAGCCAATGACGGGCAGAAAGAAAAGATCAGGGACGACGTCCCTAGTGGGAGTGGTAAGCACACCAAACCTAACGTAGGAGAGGATAACTGTAATGAAGAAACCTGAGAACAGAATCCCGGAGAAAAGGACATCAGCCAAGAGGGAGATGCTCCAAAGAAGGCAGGCGAAGACGAGTATTACAACGAAAGCGACCTCCAAGTATGAAAAGACAAATGCTTCAGGAGGGACGGCGAGATGAAGGGGATGGTAAACAAATTGGCAGACCTGCAATCGGTTGTCAATTTCATGATGCAGAACAACGTTATGCAACCACCGTTCCTATTGGAGGACACACCGATTCCAGTGGCCAAGAACGATGCCCAGAAAGGGGGATATAAAGCAATTGTCGCAGTCCCGCAGCATAACAGGGTAAGGGAGGATTCACATTGGCCTTCACGGGAGGTCGGGTGAGGAGAATCGATGGGAGGAGAGTCTCAGAGGACACATTGTGCCAAAGAACCTACGTCAAAAAGGATCGACATATTCAAGGGAATGAGCTTTACTTTGACACGATAAATGAAGGTAGGTCCAAGAGGACTCATAACGACACAGAGAGCAGCGCACCAAAAAGGCTGAAATCCGTTGACAGTTGGGCTCCTGGATGGACTAAGGAGGATTTGAGGGATTACCTGCAGAGAAAGCGACAAGATGCCGAGGTAATATCTCCAGTCAAGCCGAGAACGCCGTTCTCTATAGAATTGGACAAGTTTGAGGCCCCAAAAAGGTTCCACATGTCGAGATTCTAAATATACGACAGTAAATTTGATCCCAACTTTCATGTCAGCTTATAGTTGAACTCGATGACACTGTATATCGGGAACGAGCTGTTATTCTGCAAGGTGTTCCCCTTATCCTTTGGGGAAATCGCATCAGATTGGTTTCACAAATTGCCGAAAAGAACTGTGAAAAGTTGGGAAAGCCTGGCCAAGATGTTTGCGGCCAAGTTTGTTACAAACAAACTGCAGTCGTTAAGGGTAGACTCTCTGATGGCTCTAAGAATTACCGAGGATGAAAGCCTAAGGGCTTATGCCAAAAGATATTATGAGGTGTTTAACCAAATACCAGGGTGCAACCAAGAGGTGGCAGTCGTATCTTTTAAGAATGGCTTGAACGACGACTGTCAGCTTCGAAAGTCATTGGCAAAGACATTACCAAAAAGTATGGAGGAACTTATGGCCAGGATCAAAAAATATACGAGAGTAAAGGAAGACACGCCAGGGGCAAAGACATCAAAGTAAGAGAAGAGGAACGGCTTGCCAAAGCGAGGCTGAGGTAATATAAATTTTAATAGACAAGAAACAGGACTAAGCGCTACACAGGCAGTCACCACAGTGTTTCGGATCCCGGTTTACAAAGTCCTAGAAAGGATCAGGAATCAACCTTACTATAAAGCACTGAAGAAGATCCCTGGCGAATTCATGGGAAGAAGTTTGGGAAAGCACTATGCCTACCACAATGAGGATGGGCAATTGACTCTGGGATGCAGAGCCCTAAAGACACATTTGGAAGATCTGGTAAGACAAGGTCACTTAAGGGACCTAGTAGATGAGGCCAGGACAAGGGAAGAGCAAGCAAGGCTGCCCTAGGCACCAATAGCACCACCTCTACCAGCACCATAATCGCAAGCAGACGGACCTCAAGTGATCAATGTGATTCACTCGAAGGTCAATGAGAACGAGGTATGTGGGGAGAGTCAGAGGGTGAGGCACTTATAGCATGTGTATCAGGTCCAGCAAAAGAGGCCTAGGGAAGACGAGTACCAGGGACCAATGGTGTCCTTTACTGAAGCCGACCTACACATGGTGCAGTATCCATACAACGATGCTCTAGTAATATCCCTCAAAATTGGAGAGTGCCAGGTAAGGCGCATTTTGGTTAACCAAGGCAGCTCTTGTGACATCATATATGTCAAATGTTACAAGGAGCTCAATTTTCACCAACATGATCTGGAGCAGTTCAACAGTCCAATGGTCGGGTTTAATGGAATGCTGACGTGGCCCCTGGGAGCAATAAGTTTGGAGGTACAGGCAGGCACCAAGAAAGTAAGCACAAAGTTCACAGTAATAGAAACCCCCTCCCCTTACAATGTTATCTTGGGAAGGCCATGGTCGCACGCAATGAGGGTTGTTCCCTTAACGCTACACCAGCTATTGCGGTTCCCAATAGAGCATGGAATTGAGGAGGTCAGAGGGGATCAGGTGCAAGCAAAGAATTGCTCTATGGCAGCAATGAAATTCACCTGCAACGT